CTACTGCGCAGAGTCGACCAGGCAAACTTGCATGCCCTCTTTTTTGCATGGCAGGTTCTCTGTGCTGCGGCGCCGAGGTGGCGACATACCAGATGCGACTACGCCCTCTGGGCCAACGCGCGCTTTCCTGTGCTACCCTTTTTGCATCGCGAAGTTGCAGAGCTCGTGCCTGCAGCAAAGCTCATCCCACGGGAGACGGCTTCCCTACCTCGAAGGCAAGCTGCGATTCGACCGAGAAAGGGCACCAAACACAGACTGGGACCCCTCAGGCTCTTGGCTCACTACGGGTACTCCGACATAGGCGCCATCATCACGCTTCCCCCTATGGACCTCCTGAAGATGCCTTCCAACGGATCCCTGTGGCCCCTCTCTTGGGTGTATGGGACTTCCTCCAGGGAACCAAGGCGTGCCTGCTTGCACACCGGGTCCTGTTACTACATCATACCACGGCTCTCATCAGGCAGACCACTACGGACGACTCCCTAGCCCATTGTGCTAACTTAGCCAACGCAGTCTCTAGCGCTTGGTCCAAACACCAATATGACGTTGCATTCGCCAAGCTACGAGGGATGGGCATAGGTTCACAAAAAACAACTGTCAGCACGCGCACTACCAACGGTCGAATTGGAGGACGGCTCAATGGCTACCACACAGGTGGAAGCGGCGGACAGGTGGCTCAGACACTTCGCAGATGAAGAAGTGGGTATCGTGGTCCCAATCAGCGAAGCCAGAGCTCTGCAGGCCCAACTTCCCGCCCTGCCAGAGTGCCTCACACATGACATAACGCAAGAAGCCGCTTTCTTGCCCACGCTAGCCTCTTTCCAACAGGCGTGCAAGGCATCGAGAGCTTCAACAGCCAGCATTGACGGTATCCCAGGTGCTCTGCTCAGAAAGTTTGGCCCTACCATTGCCAGTCACTACTACCCCATAGTTGCCAAATCAGCCTTACGTCTGGAGGAACCCCTACAATGGAAGGGAGGGAACTACTGGAACATATCGAAACGCAAGGCAAACGCTGCCAAATGCAAGAACCACAAGGCCGCGATGATATCATCCCAGGTGGGCAAGAGCTACCGTAAGCTACTACGTGACCCCATTGGGCGGTCCCTCCCCAATGCAGCAGGAGACGCACAAGATGGAGGGATAGAGGGGAGAGGAGTTGACCTAGCAGCGCTCGCACTCAGGATGTTTCAAGAGCTGGCGCTGGCTACTTGCACCTCAGCTTGTTTCACAATGATAGATGCAGTCTCAGCCTTCTATCGTGCCATTCGGGAGTTGGTACTGCAGCTTGGCACCAGCGACCCAGAGCTTCGACACATTCTTCGCGCTGCAGGACTCCCAGAAGCAGCAGTCGAAGAGCTTAAGACTCACATAGCTACACATCCCACGTTGCTTGAGGCAGCGGGGGTATCTCAACGTGTGAGGGCATTGGTTGCGGACAGCTACCATTCCACGTGGTTTTGGTACCCAGGGGCCTCGTCGGTCGCTTTGACCCTATCGGGTGCGGTCCCTGGGCAACACCAAGGGAACGTGCTTTTCAACTACGTCATGTCCGCGTGTGTCAAGGAGGCCCACGCTGGCCTAAGGGAGCTCGAGCTCGAAATCAAGATCCCAATATGCCTCCACAGCAGCCTCACTCAGATGCTACACGAGACCCCCGACATAATGCAAGGATACCTACACATCTGTTTCTTCGGCGACGGGGTTTTGTGATGTTAGGACCTGCATTGCATCTTGTACAAGTGGCTCCGAAAGTGGTGGAACTAGTTGCAGCCAGCTTCGTGCGCAGAGGACTGAAGCTCAACTCTGCAGAAGGAAAGACGGAAGTGTTATTTTAGCTGAGGGGCAGAGGATCCCGAGCAGCAAAGCACATACTTTGGCACGACTTGCAGGGTCAATTTAACATCGACTCACCACTGTTGGGACAATTTACTCTGAAGGCTGTACGCCGATACCCACACCTAGGCACCGACCTAGACGAGCTCGCCTCCATAGGTCCCGAGCTCGCACACAGGGAAGCTTCTATACAGCAGTCTTCCCAAGGGTTGGGACGACGTATATTCGCTACCAACTATACCCTACCAAGGGTGGCGGCGCTGCATCTCACAGACACACTACTATTCTCATGATTACTGTTCAATGCAGGGACATGGCCACACCTCTCAGCAGCACAGCGCGCAGACCTGCAGCACGTGATGATCAACAAATACAAACAAATCTGCGCCTTCGTCACAGCGCGGAACACACGGAATGCGACATGCATGTGCTTGCGCGTGCACAGCGTGCCACGCTCACGACTGTACTAAGGATACACAAGCTCCGACTACGTGGGCGTCTTGTACACTACGGTACCCACACACTGCGAGGGCTTGTGGCACACCGGTACCGTACGACGCACGAGCGCACTGGAACAGCATGGTTGCATCGAGTGTTTCATGATATGGACTGGCTACGCACTGTACATGTTAAGATGCGAGACATGCCCAGCCCGAGGGACGACTTTGCCAGGTGGGAACACCACATTTTGCGCTCGCAACCAGCATGGAAGCGCACGCTGAACGCCGCCATGAGAGCTGAGGCGAAGGCCCAGGCAAGAGCTGCCCTGGCGCAGAACGCCTCAGACATTTGTTTGAGATGTTACAGACAGCAAGGGTACCCGTACCAATTACAGATCCGACTCATCCCCTCTTCCCTACACCCGCTCCGACCCCCGAGCTACTATGCACGTGGTGCACCTACCAAGCTATCACTCCCAAGGGGCTCCGACAGCACATCATACGTACACACTACAGCTCTGTGGACATAGTGTCAAGATTGATGGGGGAAGGATCCTTATGCATGTCATGCTCCACATCCTTCTCCAACAGGCGGGCGCTACGCAATCATCTTGCATATGGCGCCCCACGCTGCTGTCTCGCATATTTTTTTGCACGGCACAGTGCTCAGTGCCGACAGGGCCGAGGAGCTCAAGCAGCAAGAGGTCACCGACCTCACACGACAAAAAAGGGCAGGTCTTGGGCGCTGGAGGAGCGCCTACCCTGCCAGAGTGATTATACCGCCTGACGGCCTCTACCCCGCCGCCATGCTGGTAGCTTCTCACTACACGAACAACGAAGCTAGGGACATACTACGCACGTCTGGAGCTTGCTATGAATTTACCCAGGAGGCGCTATCCAAATATCAGACCCTACTGGCGGATTCGGAGGACACTACACAGCCCACAATATCCCAATATGCCGACAGATATTGGAGATACCGACCCCAGAATTTCAAGGGATGGGATAAGGAAGAAGTGCCATGTCGCATCCACCACACTACCAGATTCATTATCAACCTATTCTCTGGGCAGCGCCGGCAAGGAGACATCCAGACGTGGATGGAAGGACACTGCACAACTACACACTATGAAGTTGTACTGTTCAGTGTGGACATAGCCATCAGCGCAGAGTTGGGTGACCTCACCAGGCAGACCACCATCGACACGTGGGCCGAACATATCCTGGCCAGGAGAGTGTGGAATACGGGGGGGCCCACCATGCGAGACATGGAGCGCAGCCAGATGGCTGGATGGGCCCCCCCCCCGCTCAGAACGCATGCTTGGATGTGGGGACTGCCCGACGTGACGGATCGACAGTCCCAGCAGCTTGACGTGAGCAGCAGTCTTCTGTGGAGCACGGTTCATTCAATTGCTTGCCATGTGAAGGCTGGCACGAGCGCATGGATGGAACATCCAGAGCCTGCATGGTGGAGGTCTCAGGCACCATCGAGCTTCTACTGGGAACCCCTGGAGGCCATTCAGTCCAGTCCTGTTTGCTACACTGCCAACTTTGACCAATGTGTACACCACGATTGTGGCCCAGAGACCATCGGCAAGGCCCCCACCAGGCTCCTAGGGTTTCGCATGCCCATGCTCGCCGCCAACTTACTTAGTGCAGGATCCAATGGCCGTTGCAATCACCCCAGAGCATCCCATCTCTCACTGCAGGGAAAGGACGAGCAAGGGAGGTTTCGTACGAGTCGTAAGAAAACCTACCCGACAAACATGTGCAAGCATATTGCAGCAGCCGTTGCCGACAAGATCCAATCACAGTTTGCCTCGCCCACTAAGTGTGATGTGAATGCCGAGGACACCGACACATCCCTGGTCGAGGATCTCTGGACTTTCTATTGCAAGGAGATAGGAGGTGAATTCGAAGTTGCACCCGAATTCGCCCGTCAGGTGCCACAGCCACAGCGTCAGCGGGTGGATCCAGAAATGCACAGGTTTCAGTCTGAACGGGTGCAGTGTGAAGATGCTCCGACACCACCTCCCGACCCAGCACCTACTCCTGCTCATGAGCCCTCTCCTCCCCTTTTTCCCGGGGACCTGAGCTCTGAGCTAGATGTTGAGGTTTTCTTGGGGCCTCTGCCCGTTCCCTCTTCTTCCCCCCCCCCGCCGCCCCCCCGCAGGGCAGCGCAGATCGAGCGCATTGCTGAGAATCGACTCGAGGCGCGCCGCCGCAGGGAGGCCGGAGCGGAGGCAGCGGCACAGCGGCGGGCCCCGTGGGGAGGCAAGGGCCTCTCCTTCGCCTCGCACTTCGAGGCCCGCCCGTGCCCCCCCCCCCACCTTTTCTCTTGCAGCCGGCCTCCCAATGAGGTCCGGCCCAGAGGACGGAGCACGGCGCCCGCGCCCATGCCTGCGTCCCACCACACCTCCCTCCTCCCTCCTCCCTCCTCCCTCCCCCCTCCTCCCTCCCTCCCTCCCTCCCTCCCTCCTCCGTCCTCCCTCCTCCCTCCTCCCTCGTCCCTCGTCCCTCGTCCCTCCTCCCTCCTCCCTCCCCCGTCCTCCGTCCTCCGTCCTCCCTCCTCCGTCCTCCGTCCTCCGTCCTCCGTCCTCCGTCCTCCGTCCCCCTCCTCCCTCCTCCCTCCTCCCTCCTTCCTCCGCCCTCCACCCTCCTCCTTTTGCTCTCCTCCCTCCGCCCTCCTCCCTCCCGCCTCCCTCCTTCGCCGCTCCCTGGGGCCTGCTCGTTCTCGCTGGGTTTGTAGTCGAAGCAGAACTTCCCCTGCGGCGGCCCCCACCCCCCGCAAGGGAGGGCGAAGCGGAGGGCGGGAGAGGCGAGGGTAACAAAATAAATAAAATAAATGTTTGGCGCTCCGAGCGGATTTCTTGGATCGGCGCTGGACCCCCTCGCCTGGCGCGCGGCGCGCGCCATGGGCGGCACCGGAGGCGCCGCCGGGGGGGCCCGAGCGCCAAACGTATATGTTCATGGTCTGTTTTCTCGTCTTCATTGAAAAAAGATGCGGGCCTGAGGACGAGTGGGGAGGCCAGCCTCCGGTCAAGAGAGCCCGCCCTCTGAGTGGCCGTGCTGCCGCCGCCTCTGCCTGGGCGCGGCGCGTCCACCGAAGAAACCCGCCCCTGAGGGTGAGGGCGTCTTCGCCGGGGAGGCCGGCAGAGGGGGGAGGGGGGGAAGAGGGCGGGTGCCGCCCGCAGACGGCTGTGGGAGGCAAGAGGGGGGGTGGGAAGAGGAGGAGGAGGGGGAGGAGGAGGAGGAGGAGGAGAAAGAGGAGGAGGAGGAGGAGGAGGCGGTGGATGAGAGAAGGGAGGGAGGGGAGGACGAGGGGAGAGTGGGCACAGGGAGGCGGGAGGCCAGGCGGGAGGAGGGCGGGGTGAGGAGGGGGATCGGGGGGTGGGGGAGAACAGGAGGAGGGGGGAGACGAGGAGGTGCGATGCGGAAGGATGACTGAGGAAGGACAGAGAACGAAGGAGTGATGCGACGAGTAGCGTCGCCGCCCTGATGGGCTGAACAACCCCGTTCTGGGCGGTGAATCAATAAGTCGCTCCTGTGGGGGAGAAGTTCGTCAGCCGGTTCTGGTCGGGGAGTATCGGTGGCAATGTTGGGAGGCCTGGAAATGGGCACCAACACCAAGACAGAGGGCTGCCTCCACATGGGGGAGGTGATCCTAGATTTCGGTGTTGGTGGTAATACTTCGGCCACCTTGGAAGCCAGAATAGTACCACCATCACCGAGATCGGGATCTTCTTCCCTCGGTGGAGGAACACCGGCGATCTTGGCGTTGGTGTCAACCTCTAGGCCTGCGAAATGTTGAGGGAACGTTAGGGGGGACCATCTCAGGGGCGGGAAGATCGGGCTCGAATCGGTGGTACATCGCCGATCGGCCCTCGAGAGCGAAACTCCACGGCTCTGGGCGGGGTGGGCCATCGGGCCCCCGTCGGCGATCAGAGGGCCACTTGGGGTCGATGCGTCCCCCCTCCCGAGCCTGTCCCCCCCTGACGCTGCTCTCTCCGTGGGCACAGGAAGGGTGTGAGTGCCGGAGGCCACAAGGGGCGTGGTGGTGCTGGCAACCGGCGTGTCTTTCGACCACAGATGGTGTTGGCGCTTGGCGCCCGTCGCGGAAGCTGCGGCCCGCGCGGGCCCAGCTCTTTCAAGCGCCTACCTACGAACCCCCGCGCGGACCTCCCAACGTATATGCTCAAGTCGCACAGGGACGGTCAACACATATTTATGACTCGTCTGTTTTCGGTTGGGTTGGGGTGGTTCGGTGGGCTGTGAGGAAAATCGAGGGCGGCCAAGAGGGGGTCGTCCAGAAGGGGGGGGGGCGCAATTCATGGCTGGCGGCACGTGCGCGGCCCGGGGGGGGGGGGGCCGGGGACGTATTGACAACAGAAGGGGCGCCATGGCCCCCGTCATGGTGTTCACCCCCCCTAGTCATCAGCCCCTTCCTGGCCGCCCCCGAGAAGAGGGAGGCGGAGGGAAGCAACATTAGGTCGGGCATGTCCTCCCACAGGCGGATTGTGTAAGGAAGATGAAAAATAGCAATCAAGTATGCAAAATAACCAAAATGTTGTCAAAACATCGTCCCCAGGCTATGTTTGACTATCTCTGACTATGCCTTCTGAAGAGGGGGATGCACGACTTACAAGTGGAGACAGCAAACACTTCTGGCTTCATGCCTGTGTCGCAGAACAAAATCGAAACAGTGTCGAACGAATATCGCCTCCCAGGGCCCGACACGCGAACACTCTCCAGTTTCGGTACTTTCTTAGTGCTCGAAATTCTTTCTGGTGGTCAAGGCTAGCAAGTTGGAACATCATAAGCTTACGCGCGCATGTCCGTACAATCGACCCCGTTTCCTTCTGCCCCGCACCTGACTTTGGGCTGACCTCTGGACCCAAATACGTCTCCCTATGGCTGGACTCGCTTCGCTCTTTGCCCCACTGAAGAGAAACCGGCTGGGTGTGACTGGCTCAGGGGCGGGCAGCTTAGCCCGTGGTGGAGGCCTCTTGGGCCATCTGGGTGGCTTCAATTGTCTGCCTGGGCCGTCTTGGCAGTTCCAGACGCCGACGCATCGTTTTTTCGAGGGATCGTGGCCTCGGGAGCACGGAAACATACATCTTGATGAAGGATCGTTGCCTTGGAGCAGGGGGACTGGCTGCCCCTGTCTGCGACTAGGGGGGGTGGGAGGGAGCATCGACGTGGCATCGGCCATGCATCGCCGACAGATCGCCCACAGAGCCTCCAGAGGGGAACCCCCACGTTCCTCGACGGTGTGTGTGTGTGCGTGCGTGCGTGCGTGCGTGCGTGCGTGTGCGTGTGCGCGTGCGCGTGCGCGTGCGCGTGCGCGTGCGCGTGCGCGTGCGCGCGCGTGTGTGTGTGTGTGTGTGTGTGTGTGTGTGTGTGTGTGTGTGTGTGTGTGGGTGTGTGCGTGTGGGCATGCCCCAATCGGCGAGAAACGGCAGATTTGAGGGTCGATGCTCCCCCCTTGGCACAGGTCCCCACCTGGACGACGAGAAGAAATCTGTCTTACGCGAGGTGGCATAACGGCCTTACGTCGCGGCTTACGCGGGCCGCTGAACACGGGTCCTGGACCCCAGTGCCTCCCGCAAGGACCAGCTCTTCATCCTGAACACTATTTGACGTTTGTGCTGTTTATTCCCAACCATCCTGTGGTGTTGGGTCCTCGTTTTGAAGAGACAGCGCCCCGCATCTCCTCTCCTCTTCGCTCCTCTCCTCTCCGCTCATCTCCTCTCCTCTCCCCTCCCCTCCCCTCCCCTCCCCTCCCCTCCTCTCCTCTCCTCTCCTCTCCTCTCCTCTCCTCTCCTCGCCTCTCCTCTCCTCTCCTCTCCTCTCCTCTCCTTCCTCCTCCCCCCCTCCTTGCCTCTGTCCTCTGCATCCCATGTCGGCACACCCCTCACACGTTTCGTGGCCCCATAGGGAGCTCCACCGAAGTCCCTAATGGCGAGAGGGGCCCACAAGGTGAGCGCGTCAGCTGCATGCTGCAACACATCGCTCCCAGAGCTTGCTGGACTCCTGGAACATCTGGGCCAACGGGCCAGGGATCGAACACTGGCCAGAGGGTATTTGGGGCAGTCTGTTGCCCTGGGACGGGAACCCGAAACCAATCAAAAGCATCGAGGACCCGTTCCCCTGAAGACCCCTCTTCCCACATGGTAGACGCTTCTCTTACGAGTAGGAGGAGGGGGAGGAGGAGGAGGAGGGGGAGGAGGAGGAGGAGGAGGAGGAGGAGGAGGAGGAGGAGAAGAGGAGGACCCCCCCCTCTTACCAGTGAACCACTGCCCGAAGCCGCGCTTCAGGTCGACAACAGGGGCGCCCTGCGCCGCCTCGCCCGCCCGTCCCCTCCACGAAGTGGACGAAGGCGGGGGCGTTGGGCAGCTGGTCCCACCTCGGGCACCTCCTCCCTCCTCCTCCCTCCCTCCTCCTCCCCTCCTCCTCCTCCTCCTCCTCCTCCTCCTCCTCCTCCCTCCCTCCCCTCCTCCCTCCTCCTCCTCCTCCCTCCCTCCCTCCTCCCTCCTCCCTCCCTCCCTCCCTCCCTCCTCCCCCCCTCCCCCCCTGTCTTCCTCCTCCTCCTCCTCCTCAACCCTCCTCCCTCCTCCCTCCTCCTCCCTCCTCCTCCATCCTTGTTCCTTATCGATACCTTTTTCTCCCTGTCGCACCCGAAGCTAGTTTTTAGGGCGGGCTGAGCGTTTCGCCTGAGATTTCTTCACCATGTATAATTCTGACGCTTAAAGGTGCCAAGGGTTTCACAGATGGAGGGCGGGTCGCTTTCAAACTGTGGCTCGCCTTAGCGCCGCGCACAAACGTTTCACGGATTGAGGGCGTGTCGTTTTCGAAATGTGGCTCTCGCCTTAGCGCCGCGCACATTCCCCTTACAAAAAAATGCAAGAACTTCACGGATTGAGGGCGGCTTCTTTGCAACATGTGGCTCTCGCTTTAGCGCCACGCCCATTCCTTTTGCACATTCGCAAAGGGTTTTACGGATTCAGGGCGGTTCGTTTTTCAAATGTGGTGCTCGCCCCAGCGCCGCGCACATTCGTTGTAAACATTTGCAAGTGCTTCACGAATTCAGGGCGGTTCGTTTTCGAAATGTGAGCCTCGCCCCAGCGCCGCGCACATTCGTTTTAACACATGCAAACAGTTTGACGGATTCCCATGGTCAACGTACCAGAAATGGTGTTTTGGAAGGATTCAGGATTATGCGGGCGCAACAGTTTTGTTGAATCGCAGTGTTGGTGTCCCAAAACTGGCGTTCTGGCACGATTCCAGATCGTCAAGACGCAGCAGTCAGGTTGATACGTGGCGTTGACATCCCGAGAGCAACGTTTTGGCACGCTTCAGGATCTTCTCGCAACGAAGAAAAACGCGTGTTGGGCTGGATGCCCCCTGCGAGACGTTCTCGCAAAAGTCCGCGCCTTGGATTCGGAACGGGGTGGGCCACGCCGGAACCCACCAACCAGTGGAAGGCCGTCCGTTAGGTCAGAAGACGCAGGGCCGACGCGCACTGGACATTTTAGCCTTCGGGCTGTTCGTTACCACGTAACCGACACATCACATTTCACCCCAATTCTCCCGCGACGAGCAATCAAGAGTTCTCTTTCGAGACGTTCTCGCAACAGTAGAATATCGCACGTCGAACTGGAGCTCCCGTTCAAGACAACCTCGCAAAAACCCCGCGCCTTGGATGCGGAATCGAAGCGGGCCAGGCCAGAGCCCGCGAACAAGGGGAAAACCGTCCGTTGGGTCGGAAACGCAGGGCCGAAACGCCTTGCACGCAGGACGACAGTTTCTCCTCGCGAGGTGAAAATGGCGATGATGAGTTCGAGAGACAACGTCGGCACCGCCGAACGCCCGGCGACGGGAGGGGCTGATTGCAGCACCCAGGAAGAGAGAGATGCATTCATGTTGAGCGGGGCTGGCGCGCGCGGAGTTGATGGCAGTGAGAGACAGCGCAGGACCCATCCTGGAAAGTTGTTAACCGACCCCCCCTCCCCGCAGAATCCTCACACGTGCGGGTCGTCGGGTTCGCGGATCCGATTTCTTCAAGTTCCCCGTTTGAATTTAAGTGTACAAACTAGAAACACGGTAAACATCGAATCCACCGTAAAAACATTAGGCCGGCCCCGAAAGAAGAACAACGCAATCGGTTCCGCGCGGACAAACATCGGATCCACCGACACACAAACCGACTTCAAAGTTGGATGCGCGCGAACTGACTTGGATCCGACGGCGGTTATCTCATACGTGTCTGCTCAAAACTTCAAACCATCGTTCCGGGCCGAAGAAGAACAAACTTTCGTCCTGGGGATCTTCGATCCAAATTGAAATATCATCCCGCTAGGGCTCGATCGCCTTCGTCGTCATCGTCGCGTCATCTTCGTCGTGGTCGTCAGCGTCGTTAACCGCGTCGGTTGCCGACGGCGACGTCGGCTGCGTCTGCGTCGTCGTGATCGTCGTCGTATCCCACTGAGGCTGGATCTAGCTCTAATCCGCCACGGTTCCCCCTGGCACGCTGAGGCGTGGAAGAATGCCAAGGTCTGTGTGGTAGCATTTTTTGACTCGAGCAAGGGACCGCCCCACCCTCTACCAGCAGGCTCTTGCGTGCAGCGCCCCTCCTTTCCGAGGCCACTTCCCTCGTGCCAGCTTGAGGATTGTGCACTTCTAGCATGGCAGCAAATGCCTGAACCCCCATTCCACGCGTGCCCACTCGAGGATGGTGCACTTTCCGCATGACAGCTAATTATTCCTGGACCCGCCTTCCAAGTTTACCCACCTCAGGATGGTGCACTTCCGACATGGCAGCTAATGCCTGATCCCGCATTCCATACTTACCCGCTCGAGGATTGTGCACGTCTCGCCTGGCTGCTGGCTCCTAGACCCCTCATCCCACGCGCACCCGCTCGAGGATCGTGCACTTCCCGCATTCGCAGGCGCTGCTCCCAAGCGTTCCAGGGCCTCCCAAGACACGATTCCTTGTTGAGAACTCTGGATAAAAGTGCCGAGCTTCCGCCACGGTCGGTGCAGGCAGCCAGGGACACCAGGACGGCCCAAGACGCCTCGAAGACGGCCCAAAATCGTTTCAAGGCGGCCGAGTATTGATTCAACACTGACCTATCTGCCGCCAAGGGGGCCCGAAATGGCCACAAGATGCCCTCCAAAAGGATCTCAATAAGCCTAAACTATTGACGTCCAGTGGTTATGAAATAATTTGACTCATTTCGCCATTTCGGCCTGCCGTAGATCAAGACGGCCCAAGAAGACCCCACGATGGCCCAAGAGGCATCCAAGATGGTTCAACGACAGCCCAATAGGGCTTTCCGTGAGACCCAAGACGGCCTTAGAAGGCCCTTCGACAGCCCAAGACGGCGCCAAGACGGCCCCACAACGGCCCTCAGACACTCACCATACTGCCAAGAGGGCCACAAAATGGCGCAAGAGAGCCTCAAGCCGGCGTAGCAGAACCCCAATACGGTCCAAGAAGGCCTCAAGGAGACCCCCAATATTGCTTCACAGGAGGCCAAGACAGCCCCAAGGCGGCCCACACGAGAATATGAGTCTTCCTCCTCCTCATCATCATCATCATCATCGGCAGCATCCTCGTCATCCTCATCACCCTCGTCATCATGTTCATCATCATCACCATCATCATCATCATCATCATCATCAGCATCAGCATCAGCATCAGCATCACCATCATCATCATCATCATCATCATATTCATCATCATCATCATCATCATCATCATCATAATCATCAGCAACACCATCATCATCATCATCATCATCATCATCATCATCGTCATCGTCATCATCATCACCACCGCCATCAACATCAGCATCAGCATCAGCAGCATCATCATCGCCACCACCAACATCATCATCAGCAGCGTCCTCATCGTCATCATCATCATCATCACCATCATTGGCATCGTTATCATCGTCATCATCAACGTCGTTGCTTTCATCGCCATCACCCTCATCATCATCATCATCATCATCATCATCATCATCATTACCATCAATACCATGATCAGCATGATCATCACCACCACCACAACTACCTCTACCATGATCCGAATCATCACCATCATCATCATGGCCATCACTAGTATCATCATCAACGCCATCAACATCATCACCAACATCGTCATTACCAGACTCGTCACCACAATCAACGTCATCACCGTCACCGTCGTTGCCGTCGCCGTCATCACCATCATCATCATCATCACCATCATCATCGTCACCAACCCCATCAATCTCATCATCCCCTTCATCCTCATCACGGCCCACCCAAGACTGGACAAACCAAATCCCACACAAGACGGGTTTCCGTGCCCCTTCGAACCGTCGCCACAGTGAATATTGGGCTGGCGCAGGCAGCTGGATAGAATTCTCATGGGGCTGACTCCAGCTCAAATAGAATCTTGCGAGACCTCGGCCCAGCTCTGCCACCATCCTGCTCAGGCTCCATCCACCTCGAACAACACCCTGCTGGAGGATGGTCCAGGTCTCTCTCAATATGATGAAGGCTCGGTCCACCTCTGATGGGAGTCTACTGGGGTTCGACCCAACTCTGACAGAATCCCAGAAGGGCTCGATCCAGATCTACAAGTATTATGCGAGGGCTGGATCCAGGTCCGAATATAATCCTACCTATACGACCAACCTGCGGGTGATAAGGAGGTGAGGGGGGAGGGGGAACCAACGTCTCACTCAATCGATCTCGCTATCGATCTCACATTCGATCTCATTATCGATATCACTATCGATCTCGATATCGATATCACTATCGATCTCACAATCGATCTCACAATCGATCTCACATTCGGCCTCACATTCGGTCTCACTGTCGATCTCACAATCGATCTCACAATCGATCTCACAGTCGATCTCGCATTCGGTCTCACATTCGGTCTCACTATCGATCTCACTATCGACGCCATCATCATCATCATCATCATCATCATGAACATCATCATCATCATCATCATCGTCGTCATGATCATCATCACCATCATCACCATCATCACAATCATTACCATCATTACCATCATCACCATCATCATCTCACAATCGATCTGACTATCGATCTCACAATCGATCTCACTATCGATCTCACAATCGATCTCACATTCGGTCTCACTATCGATATCACAATCGCTCTCACAATCGACGTCATCATCATCATCAACAACACCATCATCATCATCATCATCATCATCATCATCATCATCACGATCATCTTCATCATCATCATCATCATCATCATCATCATCATCATCATCATCATCGCCATCATCGCCATCATCACCATCATCATCATCACCATCACCATCATCATCATCATCATCATCATCATCATCAGAATCATCAGAATCATCAGAAT